TCTTCGTTGAAACCGGAATTGATTTAACTAGCGAATAGTAAGGATACGTACTGCAAGATGATATAAACGTAAACATGTAAATAACTTTTTTAGAAATTAAAGTTAATAAAACTAAATACGCTTAAAACGTGAAACATACCGGAATGATTTGTTTATTCCCTCATTCTCATTTGATAATGCATTATTTCTACATTGTTCATAGTTTTGTAATTCTGTCTGAAATCCGACAGATATATTATTTAGTAATAATTAATGCTTTAAATTAAGAATTTATTCGTCGAAAAACAATTTAGATTTATAGGTTTTACTTTTGAAATGAGAAAAACACTAATTTTTTGTTTTCTTTTCTTAAAACTTAATATTTACTTGTAAAACTGGCACTTAAATTCTAAACAAAAAAAAAGGAAAAGAAGAAACGCTTACCTTGAATATAGGGCTAAAATTTATTTATACTTTAGCTTTCACGTAATTGTAAATAAAACTAACATATAATATACATAATCAACGTTAACAATTTTAACATATTTCATTTATTTAAGTCAAAAAATGATAGATTTTTCGCGTTACTTTAGGATTTTAAAAAAGTGAAATTTAGAGAAAAAAAACTATTGAAGAATTTAGAATATTTGTTTTAAAAAATATATACTTACCAATAAATCATATTTTTTTAGATTAAGTTCATGCAATAAATTTTGCTTATCATTAATTCTATTTTGTTTCTTATCAATTATAAAACCATGAACTGAAAAAGGTGAAAGTTCAATATGAAGAAATTATATTAATATTAAATTAATGAGTGAGAAGTTTTCTTTTTTCTTTTATTTATGAATGATCGTCTAAATGATTCATTTACACAACAATTAAACAAACCATTTCCATCCGTAGAAACAACAATTAATTGATCACCGGTAATAAAGGTAGTAGCAATCTGATTATTGATTGATTCTTTTAATTTTACTTCACCTGTTACTGGATCTCTCATATCAATCTGCAATATTACGTTATATGCTCTAAGCGTACGATAAGTTTTATTTTTTCTTTTACTTATTTCAAAATATTCTAAATAAAAATTTTCACGTAATTAACTGCTGTAGAATTTACTTTTTAGCAATATTTTTGGTTAATTAAAATGATTAGCTTACCTTACCATGGATCCATGTACATACCAAAGCTTTAGGATCCGGAAATTGTATTAATGCTACAGCCTGACTTTTACTTTTTATCCTCCATAACCGTGTATTTCCACTATATGCACCTAATGTACCATTCATTAAGGCATATGCAAAAATACCATCACCCAAATCACATAATCCGGTTATGGCATCCGTTTCTGTCATTTCATAAAGTAACAAATCATTCTTGAAAATACGAATATCAAAACTTTCTGATCCAACAATAAGCTGAAAAAAAAAAAAAATGATGGAGAATTTCAAAAAAGTATTTCAAATCATTTTCTTCTTATTTCATGGGTAATTTTCATATCTTGGTTTTCCATTTTTTTTTTTAAATCCATTTATTTTATCTTTGTACGTCATTCCGCTCGGCTTGCATAGCGACACATTGTAATCGAAATCAAGAATGATGCATTTTGCACCATATAAACTGGAAATAAACTGAATTCCCGAAGTTCCAATTTCAGATAGAACATGCTGAATTAGCACTCAGTATTCCAGTTTAAGTAAAATTTTATATTATCGAAATAAGTGAAAGATTATGAAAATAAAAGAATTTCATATTATTAAAATTTTTGCAAATTTTAAAATTTGATTAAATTTTTTGAACTCAGTGAACTTTATGTTCAAATTATTTGAACATGCATATATCTTTAGCAATATTTCAAAAAAACAAAAAACAAAATGTATCGTTGAAAAATTCCGGGACACAATTTGTTTTTACTTTTTTACCTGAATAAAGTTTAATTAATGAAGGTAAAAAGATCAGAAATTTATCAACAAAATTCACACCTCATTCAAACCATCATTATCGATATCTGATAAGCAAAGTGATAAGACATTATCACCAGTAACAGTCCAGAAGGCATCATTTCCCTCGATATCTAAACCCCAGACAGCACAATTGCCACCACAAAAGATAAGCTTATCATAGGTGTTAAATTTTCCCACCTGAAATTTGATTTTATGAAGTTAATAAAGAAAATGAAGAATTTGTACATAAAAGTAATAATTTTAAAACGAGTAAATTAGATAAATCAGTCAAAATTGAAAACTAATATTTCAAATTATTTAATCAAATAAATTTACATATTTTATGTGACGAATCATTTTATATATATATATATATGTTATTACAAAACTTTTTCATGTATATCTTTTCAGGTAAATATATCAAAAATTACACCTGTATGCAATTGACACCATCAATAATTTCACGTTGAATTAATGTTGTATTATTGTAAGCATCATAAATTAATAAACCACTTATTGTACCAACAATAATTGCATCATGTGTCTTATCCAATGTGGTTACTTCCAATGCACGAATTTTTTCATTTATATTAAGAACTGTTTCATTATCATGAATTATAACCTGAAATTTAGCGAATATTTCAAAAATTCAAAATTTCTAATTAAAAATTTTCATGCTTACAATAAAATGAAATATTGCTTATTTTTGAAATATCATTCTTAAACGAAAGATTTAATATATATATATATGCATATAAAAGAAAAGTTTTATTAAAATTACATTCGACAATTATTTGAAACTATTATTTGTTTAATAAAAAAAAATAATAATGAGTGACTGTAATTTGCATACAAACCTTATTTGTTGTTGTTGCAACAAATAAGTGTGTAATTTGTCCTGTGCTCATCAATTATACCAAATCGTGCACAACCAGGTACAATATGATGAGATATTCTATAGGTAAACTCTGATCGAAGGCCTAACATCAAATAGCACTGTTATTAGATGGGAATTAAGCAAAAGCAAATGGTAACGTTGCCAAGGGTAACCAATGGACACGCTAGACACAACAATGCAATGCAATTGTGTAATTTAAAATATTTCTTAATAAAAATATATAAGTTAAACTTATACCTTACAAAATATCAAAATGATCGTTGAATTGTTAAGTTTTAAATTAATGAATGAATTGAATGTTTATTTAAATTTAAAATCTTTTTTAGATAGATTGACCTTAAGTGCATTTTTTTTTTTTTTTTTTTTTTTTTAACACAGCGATTTCATTTCAAACAGTAATGTCAGAAGTTTAAAATTAAAAATTTTCACTGTAATCTAATTTTTTGTCTAATTTTAACTTACATTACAATTCATAATTTTTGATAATGATTAAACTAAAATAAAATGCAGCATGAATTTGCAATCGATCATTTAGTAATTTTACATCTGTGTGAAAGGTTGTTGGATTCAAATCTTTTCTATTGTTGTACTGATGGTTGGTAGATTGATTTTAGCAGAGAGAATTTAAATGAAATAAAATTTTTTATTATATAAAGTTATATATTTTGAAAGTAAATCTACTTTGAAAAATTTTTTTTTAGAAATGTATAAAATTTTCAAATTTCAATATCTTGTCTCTTCATTTTTTTTTCGTTTTGAATTTAATGAAAGTTAAGCTATAATGAAATATATTGAAGTTTATATGGGAAAAACGATGCATAGAAAAATGGCGATAGAATCAGAGACTAATCATTCTGAACTGTCGCATCAAATGTGACAATTTTGAACTGTTTGCAAGGAAAAGAATTTATTATAAGCAAGTTATAGTTTGCGCATATGAATATAATTTTCAAAAAACTTTATAAAATTTTGTAACATTTGAAAACAATTTTATTTTTTTTTTTTAATTTATATTTTAAATTTAAACTTTAATAGTAAGCAATGCAAATAGGAATACAAAATCACTAAAGATTTGATGTAAGTTTTTTTCTATTTTACAATTAGTAATGTAAAAAAATTGTAGAAATATGACAAAATAAAATAAATTTATTATACAAATGAAAACAATTAAAAGAATTATATAATTGAGAGTCATTACAGGTGACAAATACTGTATAGCATTTTTCAGGTAAGGGGACATTTTCATCGGTTAGATGTGCATGGCATAGTGAAATGAAAAAAATGTTGCACTTAAAATTATTGATACAAGGTATGCTACAATAATTAACCTTTAATTAATCTTTAATTAAATTAAAGTTAATTAGTTAAATACTTCCTTCATTTCCGATTCTTTTCATGTGAATATCAAATCAAAATTTCATTATTTTCAGCTCAAATTCTGATTTCATAGTACGTTTCTACCACGTGAAAAAATTATCGTTCAGCAATTGAACCATGCAAATATTATTAAAAATTTTGAAGTTAGTCATTAATCGAACTTCTATCAGAAAATTAATTTCACAGCAATAATAACAATTTAATATTAGTAGCAATTTTCATTGGCACTAAAATGCTAATTGAGATTTATATTTAATTATATTTTTTATATTTAATTATATATTGAGATTTATATTAATTATATTTATTATATTACAACAAATAAAGTAACATGTTCCAGTCTAAATTATTCATTCTTAATTTATATCAGCAAAAACAAATTTAGTAATGAAAACAGACCAAAAAACGAATTAAACTGAACTAGCGAAGATAAGAAATGATAATATTTCTAATAACCAATTAAAGTGATAAAATGATGTGATGATACATTGGACAATGTAAATTATCAAATCAAAAATAAACAAATAAGTAAAAAATAAACGAAAAACAAAGAAGCAAAAAGAAAAAAGAACATTTCAAGATGCTTTTATTGTATTTCTTTAATGTCAGATCATAAATGATAAAAGATTTCTTTATCAGATCATAAATGAGAACCGTATGTATGCTTCGTTCAAGAATATGCTATGCACGGTGATCTCTTACAAAAAATCAAGAAAAAATAATTGGATCGATGAGGATGAGGGTCGATTTTATTTTCGACAACTTATTGAAGCACTTACGGTATTTTAATATGTAATGAATTATTGTAATTAGCTAATTAAACTTTTGTAAGCATGATTTTTGACATTTTTAAATCAGGTATAGTTGAATAAAATTACTTCCTTTACATAAATTTACTTTTCAACTTAATTACTTAATTGAATTTTCAATTTAATTACTGTGACATTTGAATCTTTCACAATTTGTTATTCATGGCAGAACGAGTTATAAGTTAAAAGCTTACATATATACACATATTTTTTTAATTTTCATTTGATGAATATCCAATATTTTTCATAACAAATTTTAAATGTTTATAAAAAGAATTGTGTAATAAATTTAATCATAAATCTATTAAATTTTCAATCAGATCTCAATCATATTAAAATAGTTTAGTATTTGAAATCAATCAGTATAGCACATCGTGATATCAAGTGTGAAAATGTATTATTGGACAGTTGTGATAATGTTAAACTTGGCGATTTTGGCTTGCTCGATTTATGAAAGCTGATGAAGTGTCGCATACATTTTGTGGATCTCGAGCTTATGTTGCACCTGAATTATTGAGGTGATGATAATTATGATAAGCCAGGCTTTTTTTCATTCAAACTTTTCTGTGATGTTGCATATGAAAGTAAAAACTCTGCAACTTCTGCCCAATACAGTAATGAAAAGTGTATACTTAGGTCATATCCATATAACGGTTTCCTGGCAGATATTTGGAGTACAGGTATATTGCTATATGTTATGGTTACCGGATTTATGCCATATGATGATCGAAATATCAATAAAATGCTTGAAAACAATTGCAACATCGGTAGTTTGACTTCAATTATTATAGTATATGTGATTTGACCTTCGTAAATAATACTTCTAATATTTAAGTCTTTTCGATTATCTTTCAAGCATTAACTACATAATATATAACAGATATCAATTATTAATAAGTGATCTTACGTAAGTTCTAATGTAATCCGTAGTTGTAGGATTACATTTCCACGTCGTCGTAATTGAGTGCTGAAGTAAAAGAACTTATCTATGCTATGGTACATCCGGTACCATTAAAACGACGACCATATGACGAAATTATCAAATCGTCATGGCTTGCTGATATAAAGTACGAACTTCGCACAGAACCATTTTCTCAAAACTCTGATAAAATCACATCGTAACACAAATTAAAATCAATCAAATGTTCATTTTGCATTCAAAACGACTGATGTTGAACTTATTGATATAATACAACTTATCCAAAAGAAAAAACTATCAAAAATTCACTTTGGAATAATACTTTAATGGCGAAATTGATAAATTTGTAATTAGTAACAGTTTTAATCAAATTTCAACGTCGAAGTTAATTTTAATTGCAAATTTAAGTATGCATATTTACGAAAATTTTGCAGTTTCCATCAATTCCTGTAATTTAAACCAAGAAAATAAATTTTGTTTTAATTAAGTGGAGACAATATAATAGAATTGTAATTCATTAAGAAAATATGTTTTCTAAACATAATTGACAATTATATTTGCCATGCATGTGATCTGCTCACATCCTATCGTGGTCACTTGACAACTTAAATAAAAAACATTCCATATTTGAATAACATTTAAATGGCGAAATTAATAAAAAATGTAATTATTAATATTCTCAATTAATTTTTGACATTGAAAATAATTTTTATTACAAATTTAAGCATTCATCGTTACGAAAATCCGGCAGTTTCTACCAGTTGCTGTAATTTAAATGAGAGAAAAGTCTTTAATTTTGTTAAATTTCGTTTTAATTAAGTGCTAATAAGATTAAAGTTTTTGCAAAAATTAAAATTTTTTTCTCTATTTAAATTATAAAAACTGCGCAAAATGCACGTTTTTCATAATGGTCCATTCTTAAATTTACAATTATAATTAATTTCAATGTCAAAAATGTTTCTAATCATAATCATTTTTATTTTGTCATTTTAGTTTAGTTCCAAAGCAAAATCTTGGAATTTTTTTTTTTTTGTTTTGTTTTGGTTGTCAAAGTTTATGCTAGGATGTGAATATATCGTTCTAATGAAAGTACAATGGAAATAAAAATATAAATTAAGTTTGACATGCATATTTATAGATAGATAAATGTATTTGATGAATTTTGATTTTATAATTTTATTGACACTTAGTTAAGTCAAAATTTGAAATTATATCCTTGTTTAGACTGCTGGTACAAATTTTCATAACGATCCATTCTTAAATTTATAATTAAAGTTAATTTCAATGTCGAAAATAACTTGATCACAACTATTTTTTATTTCCCATTTTAGCTTTGCTCATTTATTTCTTCTCTCAATGTTATTCACCTGAAAATATCTTATCAAGCATTCAACTGCAATTGTTTCACTTTTTTTTTGATTCAGCCATAATCTTTTCTTGCAAGTTCATTGAAAATAATGCATCTAATCTTGACAAAAATTGACACTGCAAATTATTGAATTCATATATTGTAATACTAATAAAGCAGAAATATTCTATTTATGAGATTTGAGCTGTTTTGATATAACGAAATGAAAAATCAATTTACGGTCTTAATTCTGCTTATGTACAAATTTATTTGAATATTATTTCTTTTTTTTTTTTTATTCCGCAATGCTAAAATGTAATGAGTGATCAAATACTTCGCTTATTTGTATGTTAGCATCTTATTTCCTCACAATTATTTCCTGGCAATTAAGATTTCTTTAGTTCTCATAAAGGTTATAGTGAATTCATGTAGATATATCATTTCACATGAGGTCTTGTCATTTTTGCATTTTCATAACTTTCTAATAAGATGAGAATAAGTAAAAAAGAAAATAAGATTTACTGTCATTTGTAACTTTGAAGAAGAGTAATTTTGTACTGATTATATCTTAAATTTGTTCACATTGAGTTAAATCAGACAATGTTATAAATTTACTAAACAATAAAATGGATGAATTTCAGTTTTATTAAATACTTTTCTGACTTTTTCACATTTTTTCAACAACCAATTTCTTTTAAATATAATGGGAAGATTAATGTCTCTGAAATCCAACTTTAGACTAAAGATCACAGCAAGTCGGTGACCCGAAATTTTAGCAACAGCGAGCAGATGATCAGCCATCTTACTGTGTGCAGAATCCATTTGCCTTTTATTGCCATAGTTGAATCCATCAGTTAAAAATCCATCGATTTGTCGATTTGTTATTGGAATTCAATTGCTCATTTTAATTCCATTAAAATGACAATATGTAAAAAGTGACTCTCATAGAAGTTCGCACCGAATCAGTAATTTTTTTTAACCTCTGATTTGCAACTTTGGGAAATTTTTATTTTTTATATCACTTTTCCTGTTAAGATTAAGCAAAATCTTCTTAAAATAGCGTCCAACATAAATTATATAATTGATAAACTTTAATAACATGACAGCATCACTTAATCCAATTCACATATAATCAAGTATCATCTCATAGATCTTGTACAAGCGAAGCGTCTCGCTTGCTTTATTTCACTATAAAAAAATATAGGAAATTAAGGAACCATAGATGAAACAAATTCAAAGATGAAATAAAATTGCAAAAAATGTCACAATTGCTTTGCATAAATTATTTTCAGCAGTATAATATAGCAGCTGAAATGAAATTATTCAGTGTAAAGGATCAAACACTGATTGCTATTATTATATCATTAAATGTAATAATTTATATTCTATTACTATTAGCCCCACATTGTCTGTTGCACGCGGAAGAAAGTTATCAATATACATAGTTGCCACCTCCATCTGAATGAGCATTTATACATGCGATTATTTAACAATATCTAACAGAAGTAACAGAAGGCCTCTGTCAAACTCTCTTCCACAAATTTCTTTCATTTATTTTGTTCTCTTTTTAGAGTTTTGACTTATGAGAAAGATTTGGAACTCGATAATAATTTAGAAAAGCATTTATTTGGGCAAATTTTTCCTTCGGCATTTGTCAATGAGCAATTGCCTAGTAAATTTGAATGTTTTCAGAATTGGCAACAAATTATTCTCATTGGCAGTTGGCATGCATTTCATCTATTTCTTCTTCTTTTTTTTGCAACTGAACAATATTCAAACAACCGTAAGCCCATTTAAAGTTTAAAAAATAGAACATAGCGTTGCGATACCATGGAGATTTAAATTTTTACCCGGTATGAGATTGATAATTGCATATCATTTGAGGTAGCGCAAACGGATCAAACAGAACCATTGGATTTATCAATATCAAAAGTGAAAGAGAAAGGCAATGCATTACAAGGCTTATCAATGGAAAGAAAGTGTGAAGAAGAAATTGGACTGCAATTGCTTCAAACAAAAACATTGTATTCAACCGCTTCAAAAGTCAGTGATGAACGAATTCCAATCGAAACAGTGATGAAAGTAATGGAAATGTCAAAGCAGGAAAGTAGAACGAAAAAGAAGCAACGCCACGATGTACACCAAAAGCAAGAACATACGATGACTCATACCGATGAGAAGCCGTACAGTTGTCCGACATGTAAAAAGAATTTCACTAACTCCAGTAATATGAAAAAACATATGCTGACTCATACCGGTGAAAAGCCGTACAGTTGTCCAACATGCAAAAAGAATTTTACTCAGTTCAGTAATATGAAAAAACATGTGATGATTCATACCGGTGAGAAGCCGTACAGTTGTTCAATATGCAAAAAGAATTTCACTCAGTTCGGAGATATGAAAAAACATATGATGATTCATACAGGTGAAAAGCCGTACAGTTGTCCGATATGCGGAAAATGTTACACTCGAAGATACATTTTGCAGTCTCACATGGTAACTCATGACATGAATAGACCTGTTTACCACTGTACTGCATGCAGTAAAGATTTTCAGACTAAATGCAGCTTGAAATTACACATGCGGAATCATTAAAAATTACGCTTTACGTCTTATTTTCAATTAAATACGCATTGCTATTCCTGTTATTATTGATTATTTATATTTTTCATCAGCAAATTCTTCTGTCATTTGTCTTTATTTGTTAAATAATTCTCTCTCACTATTATTGTTATAGTTGCTGTAATCTTGGTCATATAAATTTTTATCATTTTTCATGTCATTTTTCTTGTTAAGATCAATCAAAATCTCCTTAAAATAGCGCCCAACGTGCATGATATAATTGGCAAACTTTAATAATATAGTAGCATCACTTTAACTCAGTTTACATACAGTACATTCTTTCTGAAAAATGAACTAATCAAGTATCATCTCACAGATCTTGTATAAACGAAGCGTCTCGCTTGCTTTATTTCACTATAAAAAACATTCAGAAAATTAAGTAACCATACATAAAACAAGTACAAAATGAGAAAGAAAACAAACAATGAAAGTAATATAACGGGCGTTCATGTGAACACACGCTTGAAATCATGGCAGAAATAACAAAAGATACAAATAAATAGTAAATATAGCAGCCATCATACTTTTTTACTCATGTGAAGGAATTTTATGAACAAAAGTCTGTGTTCATAATTTTGCAGTGAATTAAACCCAGCCATGATATTGCTAATTTACTTAGCAATTATACATTAATGAACTTAATTAGTGACATAGGCTTAGGAAAAAAATATGTAATCAATAAGAGTAACAGAATTTTCTTATAGAAGAACAACAAACAATTCAAGCCAAAATTTAAATATTTACACTTACATCCAGACTAGCAACTTCTCCCAAAATAATTAAATTTACAAATCTTCTACGACAAATTTGATGCCACAAGCCAGGAAAAGGAATATAATTACAATAGCCTTTACTATTATTGATGGCTTGGAAATAAATTGAAAAGGTGTGATTCATGAAGGAAACAGTTACATGGTAAACTGCTTTATTAGCATGAGGCTCTATACTGCTGTAGCTTCGTCCTGAATAACATCATATTGTAGGCGATATATATTTGAAATTTATAAAAGTTTGCTTTCTTTACAGGTGCATGAAATTCAGTTCTTTCTAGTTCAAGATGCTTCAAACATTTATATTTTCTGAAAGGTCCATTCTAGTGTTTAATTAACATGCAAAATGTTTTCAGTTTTCAGTCTTCTTATATAGCAAGCAATATGCGTAAAAAAGTATATGATTTACAATAAGAAAGAGTAACCAGTCTAACAAAAAGCTTGATTAGACAGTAACAAAAAAAAAAAAAAAAAAAAAAAAAAAACTGATTAGTTTACAAGCAAATTTAATTACTAGTTGACAAACCGCAAAGGATATTATTAAGCAAAGGTTGTTAACTTCGTAGATTCAAGGATAATTCACAATTAGTGGCGACACAATAATGAGATCAACTAAATGAGCAGATACTGTGTAAACAATATGTAAAAGATTTAAGACTAAACATAGGGTTGAAAACAAAAAGAGTTATAAGCTTTGTTTGCAAGATTTCATAGAACATATTACTTACTCATATAATATTTTAGAGTCTCACGATATTAAAATTACTATGAACACTTCCCTACGGGAAAGTGCCTAGTAATTTTACCAAGAATCAGGAGAATTCAACTTCAGTTCTTCTCTATCAAGTTACTGTGCTAACTGCTTCTGCTAATAAAGGAATTATTATATTTTTTTGTTACCCCAAACATTTAAATCCAGCAAATCTCTTCGAGATCAGCAGCCTCTCTCAAAATAATTGAATTTATAAATCTTCCACGACAGCCAACTGTTATTGGACGGAACCAACGTTGTTCCTAACTGGTAGGACTTTACCGCCTTTTTTTTAGTTTTATTATGCTTGGAATTTGAAGGGTTAATGAATATTAGAAATCATCAAATGTAATCATTTGATTTGAAGCTATCGTCATCACATGGTGTTATATACGATGACTGTAAAAATTTTTAATATGCTTAATTTACACAGATGACACAAAGCAAATTTGAAAATAAACTTTAAAAATGAAATCCAAACGAAATATTTGATGAAAAATTTAACATTCATAAATCAATATTATCAATTACAAGAGTTGCAGCAACGTAGTTTTCCCTCTCGTTAATATTCCCAAAGACTGGAAAATGTGGAAAAATTGAAACAAAAGGAAATAATATTGCAAAAAATGTCACAATTGCTATACATAAATTATTTTCAACAGTATAATATAGCAACTGAAATGAAATTATTCAGTGTAAAGGATCAAACACTGATTGCTATTATCATATCATTATACGTAATATTTTATATTCTATTATTATTATCCCCATATTGTTTATTACACGCGGACGTAAGTTATTAATAATATACGTAGTTTGCCACCTCCATCTGAATGAGCATTTATACATGCGATTATTTAACAATATCTAACAGAAGTAACAGAAGGCCTCTGTCAAACTCTCTTCCACAAATTTCTTTCATTTATTTTGTTCTCTTTTCAGAGCTCTGATTAGAATTTTGGGACTCGATGATAATCTAGAAAAGCATTTATTTGGGCAAATTTTTCCTTCGGCATTTGTCAATGAGCAATTGCCTAGTAAATTTGAATGTTTTCAGAATTGGCAACAAATTATTCTCGTTGGCAGTTGGCATGCATTTCATCTATTTCTTCTTCTTCTTTTTGCAACTGAACAATATTCAAACAACCGTAAGCCCATTTAAAGTTTAAAAAATAGAACATAGCGTTGCGATACCATGGAGATTTAAATTTTTACCCGGTATGAGATTGATAATTGCATATCATTTGAGGTAGCGCAAACGGATCAAACAGAACCATTGGATTTATCAATATCAAAAGTGAAAGAGAAAGGCAATGCATTACAAGGCTTATCAATGGAAAGAAAGTGTGAAGAAGAAATTGGACTGCAATTGCTTCAAACAAAAACATTGTATTCAACCGCTTCAAAAGTCAGTGATGAACGAATTCCAATCGAAACAGTCATGAAAGTAATGGAAATGTCAAAGCAGGAAAGTAGAACGAAAAAGAAGCAACGCCACGATGTACACCAAAAGCAAGAACATACGATGACTCATACCGATGAGAAGCCGTACAGTTGTCCGACATGCAAAAAGAACTTTACTCAGTTCAGTAATATGAAAAAACATATGATGACTCATACCGGTGAGAAGCCGTGCAGTTGTCCAATGTGCAAAAAGAATTTTACTCAGTTCAGTAATATGAAAAAACATATGATGACTCATACCGGTGAGAAAGCGTACAGTTGTTCAATATGCAAAAAGAATTTCACTCAGTTCAGTAATATGAAAAAACATATGATGACTCATACCGGTGAGAAGCCGTACAGTTGTTCAATATGCAAAAAGAATTTCACTCAGTTCGGGGATATGAAAAAACATGTGATGACTCATACCGGTGAGAAGCCGTACAGTTGTTCAATATGCAAGAAGAATTTCACTCAATTCGGGGATATGAAAAAACATATGATGACTCATACCGGTGAAAAGCCGTACAGTTGTCCGACATGCAAAAAGAACTTCACTGAGTCCGGCAATATGAAAAGGCATGTGATGAGTCATACGGGTGAAAAACCATACAGTTGCCCGATAGAAGTTCGCACCGAATCAGTAATTTTTTTTAACCTCTGATTTGCAACTTTGGGAAATTTTTATTTTTTATATCACTTTTCCTGTTAAGATCAAGCAAAATCTCCTTAAAATAGCGTCCAACATAAATTATATAATTGATAAACTTTAATAACATGACAGCATCACATAATCCAATTCAAATATAATCAAGTATCATCTCATAGATCTTGTACAAGCGAAGCGTCTCGCTTGCTTTATTTCACTATAAAAAAATATAGGAAATTAAGGAACCATAGATGAAACAAATTCAAAGATGAAATAAAATTGCAAAAAATGTCACAATTGCTTTGCATAAATTATTTTCAGCAGTATAATATAGCAGCTGAAATGAAATTATTCAGTGTAAAGGATCAAACACTGATTGCTATTATTATATCATTAAATGTAATAATTTATATTCTATTACTATTAGCCCCATATTGTTTGTTGCACGCGGAACAAAGTTATCAATATACATAGTTGCCACCTCCATCTGAATGAGCATTTATACATGCGATTATTTAACAATATCTAACAGAAGTAACAGAAGGCCTCTGTCAAACTCTCTTCCACAAATTTCTTTCATTTATTTTGTTCTCTTTTTAGAGTTTTGACTTATGAGAAAGATTTGGAACTCGATAATAATTTAGAAAAGCATTTATTTGGGCAAATTTTTCCTTCGGCATTTGTCAATGAGCAATTGCCTAGTAAATTTGAATGTTTTCAGAATTGGCAACAAATTATTCTCGTTGGCAGTTGGCATGCATTTCATCTATTTCTTCTTCTTCTTTTTGCAACTGAACAATATTCAAACAACCGTAAGCCCATTTAAAGTTTAAAAAATAGAACATAGCGTTGCGATACCATGGAGATTTAAATTTTTACCCGGTATGAGATTGATAATTGCATATCATTTGAGGTAGCGCAAACGGATCAAACAGAACCATTGGATTTATCAATATCAAAAGTGAAAGAGAAAGGCAATGCATTACAAGGCTTATCAATGGAAAGAAAGTGTGAAGAAGAAATTGGACTGCAATTGCTTCAAACAAAAACATTGTATTCAACCGCTTCAAAAGTCAGTGATGAACGAATTCCAATCGAAACAGTCATGAAAGTAATGGAAATGTCAAAGCAGGAAAGTAGAACGAAAAAGAAGCAACGCCACGATGTACACCAAAAGCAAGAACATACGATGACTCATACCGATGAGAAGCCGTACAGTTGTCCGACATGCAAAAAGAACTTCACTGAGTCCGGCAATATGAAAAGGCATGTGATGAGTCATACGGGTGAAAAACCATACAGTTGTCCGATATGCGGGAAAAGTTCCACTCATCCCGGTAATATGAAAAAACATATGATGACTCATACCGGTGAGAAGCCGTGCAGTTGTCCGATTTGCAAGAAGAATTTCACTGATTCCAGTAATATGAAAAGACATATGATGACTCATACCGGTGAGAAGCCGTGCAGTTGTCCGATTTGCAAGAAGAATTTCACTGACTCCAGTAATATGAAAAAACATATAATGACTCATACCGGTGAAAAGCCGTACAGTTGCCCGACATGTAAAAAGAATTTCACTAACTCCGATAATATGAAGCAACACATGCTGACTCATACCGGTGAAAAGCCGTACAGTTGTCCAACATGCAAAAAGAATTTTACTCAGTTCAGTAATATGAAAAAACATGTGATGATTCATACCGGTGAGAAACCGTACAGTTGTTCAATATGCAAAAAGAATTTCACTCAGTTCGGAGATATGAAAAAACATATGATGATTCATACAGGTGAAAAGCCATACAGTTGTCCGATATGCGGAAAATGTTACACTCGAAGATACATTTTGCAGTCTCACATGGTAACTCATGACATGAATAGACCTGTTTACCACTGTACTGCATGCAGTAAAGATTTTCAGACTAAATGCGGCTTGAAATTACACATGCGGAATCATTAAAAATTACGCTTTACGTCTTATTTTCAATTAAATACGCATTGCTATTCCTGTTATTATTGATTATTTATATTTTTCATCAGCAAATTCTTCTGTCATTTGTCTTTATTTGTTAAATAATTCTCTCTCACTATTATTGTTGTTATAGTTGCGTTAATCTTGGTCATATAAATTTTTATCATTTTTCATGTCATTTTTCTTGTTAAGATCAATCAAAATCTCCTTAAAATAGCGCCCAACATGCATGATATAATTGGCAAACTTTAATAATATAGTAGCATCACTTTAACTCAGTTTACATACAGTACATTCTTTCTGAAAAATGAACTAATCAAGTATCATCTCACAGATCTTGTATAAACGAAGCGTCTCGCTTGCTTTATTTCACTATAAAAAACATTCAGAAAATTAAGTAACCATACATAAAACAAGTACAAAATGAGAAAGAAAACAAACAATGAAAGTAATATAACGGGCGTTCATGTGAACACACGCTTGAAATCATGGCAGAAATAACAAAAGATACAAATAAATAGTAAATATAGCAGCCATCATACTTTTTTACTCATGTGAAGGAATTTTATGAACAAAAGTCTGTGTTCATAATTTTGCAGTGAATTAAACCCAGCCATGATATTGCTAATTTACTTAGCAATTATACATTAATGAACTTAATTAGTGACATAGGCTTAGGAAAAAAGTATGTAATCAATAAGAGTAACAGAATTTTCTTATAGAAGAACAACAAACAATTCAAGCCAAAATTTAAATATTTACACTTACATCCAGACTAGCAACTTCTCCCAAAATAATTAAATTTACAAATCTTCTACGACAAATTTGATGCCACAAGCCAGGAAAAGGAATATAATTACAATAGCCTTTACTATTATTGATGGCTTGGAAATAAATTGAAAAGGTGTGATTCATGAAGGAAACAGTTACATGGTAAACTGCTTTATTAGCATGAGGCTCTATACTGCTGTAGCTTCGTCCTGAATAACATCATATTGTAGGCGATATATATTTGAAATTTATAAAAGTTTGCTTTCTTTACAGGTGCATGAAATTCAGTTCTTTCTAGTTCAAGATGCTTCAAACATTTATATTTTCTGAAAGGTCCATTCTAGTGTTTAATTAACATGCAAAAATGTTTTCAGTTTTCAGTCTTCTTATATAGCAAGCAATATGCGTAAAAAAGTATATGATTTACAATAAGAAAGAGTAACCAGTCTAACAAAAAGCTTGATTATACAGTAACAAAAAAAAAAAACTGATTAGTTTACAAGCAAATTTAATTACTAGTTGACAAACCGCAAAGGATATTATTAAGCAAAGGTTGTTAACTTCGTAGATTCAAGGATAATTCACAATTAGTGGCGACACAATAATGAGATCAACTAAATGAGCAAATACTGTGTAAACAATATGTAAAAGATTTAAGACTAAACATAGGGTTGAAAACAAAAAGAGTTATAAGCTTTATTTGCAAGATTTCATAGAACATATTACTTACTCATATAATATTTTAGAGTCTCACGATATTAAAATTACTATGAACACTTCCCTACGGGAAAGTGCCTAGTAATTTTACCAAGAATCAGGAGAATTCAACTTCAGTTCTTCTCTATCAAGTTACTGTGCTAACTGCTTCTGCTAATAAAGGAATTATTATATTTTTTTGTTACCCCAAACATTTAAATCCAACAAATCTCTTCGAGATCAGCAGCCTCTCTCAAAATAATTGAATTTATAAATCTTCCACGACAGCCAACTGTTATTGGACGGAACCAACGTTGTTCCTAACTGGTAGGACTTTACCGCCTTTTTTTTAGTTTTATTATGCTTGGAATTTGAAGGGTTAATGAATATTAGAAATCATCAAATGTAATCATTTGATTTGAAGCTATCGTCATCACATGGTGTTATATACGATGACTGTAAAAATTTTTAATATGCTTAATTTACACAGATGACACAAAGCAAATTTGAAAATAAACTTTAAAAATGAAATCCAAACGAAATATTTGATGAAAAATTTAACATTCATAAATCAATATTATCAATTACAAGAGTTGCAGCAACGTAGTTTTCCCTCTCGTTAATATTCCCAAAGACTGGAAAATGTGGAAAAATTGAAACAAAAGGAAATAATATTGCAAAAAATGTCACAATTGCTATACATAAATTATTTTCAACAGTATAATATAGCAACTGAAATGAAATTATTCAGTGTAAAGGATCAAACACTGATTGCTATTATCATATCATTATACGTAATATTTTATATTCTATTATTATTATCCCCATATTGTTTATTACACGCGGACGTAAGTTATTAATAATATACGTAGTTTGCCACCTCCATCTGAATGAGCATTTATACATGCGATTATTTAACAATATCTAACAGAAGTAACAGAAGGCCTCTGTCAAACTCTCTTCCACAAATTTCTTTCATTTATTTTGTTCTCTTTTCAGAGCTCTGATTAGAATTTTGGGACTCGATGATAATCTAGAAAAGCATTTATTTGGGCAAATTTTTCCTTCGGCATTTGTCAATGAGCAATTGCCTAGTAAATTTGAATGTTTTCAGAATTGGCAACAAATTATTCTCGTTGGCAGTTGGCATGCATTTCATCTATTTCTTCTTCTTCTTTTTGCAACTGAACAATATTCAAACAACCGTAAGCCCATTTAAAGTTTAAAAAATAGAACATAGCGTTGCGATACCATGGAGATTTAAATTTTTACCCGGTATGAGATTGATAATTGCATATCATTTGAGGTAGCGCAAACGGATCAAACAGAACCATTGGATTTATCAATATCAAAAGTGAAAGAGAAAGGCAATGCATTACAAGGCTTATCAATGGAAAGAAAGTGTGAAGAAGAAATTGGACTGCAATTGCTTCAAACAAAAACATTGTATTCAACCGCTTCAAAAGTCAGTGATGAACGAATTCCAATCGAAACAGTCATGAAAGTAATGGAAATGTCAAAGCAGGAAAGTAGAACGAAAAAGAAGCAACGCCACGATGTACACCAAAAGCAAGAACATACGATGACTCATACCGATGAGAAGCCGTACAGTTGTCCGACATGCAAAAAGAACTTTACTCAGTTCAGTAATATGAAAAAACATATGATGACTCATACCGGTGAGAAGCCGTGCAGTTGTCCAATGTGCAAAAAGAATTTTACTCAGTTCAGTAATATGAAAAAACATATGATGACTCATACCGGTGAGAAAGCGTACAGTTGTTCAATATGCAAAAAGAATTTCACTCAGTTCAGTAATATGAAAAAACATATGATGACTCATACCGGTGAGAAGCCGTACAGTTGTTCAATATGCAAAAAGAATTTCACTCAGTTCGGGGATATGAAAAAACATGTGATGACTCATACCGGTGAGAAGCCGTACAGTTGTTCAATATGCAAGAAGAATTTCACTCAATTCGGGGATATGAAAAAACATATGATGACTCATACCGGTGAAAAGCCGTACAGTTGTCCGACATGCAAAAAGAACTTCACTGAGTCCGGCAATATGAAAAGGCATGTGATGAGTCATACGGGTGAAAAACCATACAGTTGCCCGATAGAAGTTCGCACCGAATCAGTAATTTTTTTTAACCTCTGATTTGCAACTTTGGGAAATTTTTATTTTTTATATCACTTTTCCTGTTAAGATCAAGCAAAATCTCCTTAAAATAGCGTCCAACATAAATTATATAATTGATAAACTTTAATAACATGACAGCATCACATAATCCAATTCAAATATAATCAAGTATCATCTCATAGATCTTGTACAAGCGAAGCGTCTCGCTTGCTTTATTTCACTATAAAAAAATATAGGAAATTAAGGAACCATAGATGAAACAAATTCAAAGATGAAATAAAATTGCAAAAAATGTCACAATTGCTTTGCATAAATTATTTTCAGCAGTATAATATAGCAGCTGAAATGAAATTATTCAGTGTAAAGGATCAAACACTGATTGCTATTATTATATCATTAAATGTAATAATTTATATTCTATTACTATTAGCCCCATATTGTTTGTTGCACGCGGAACAAAGTTATCAATATACATAGTTGCCACCTCCATCTGAATGAGCATTTATACATGCGATTATTTAACAATATCTAACAGAAGTAACAGAAGGCCTCTGTCAAACTCTCTTCCACAAATTTCTTTCATTTATTTTGTTCTCTTTTTAGAGTTTTGACTTATGAGAAAGATTTGGAACTCGATAATAATTTAGAAAAGCATTTATTTGGGCAAATTTTTCCTTCGGCATTTGTCAATGAGCAATTGCCTAGTAAATTTGAATGTTTTCAGAATTGGCAACAAATTATTCTCGTTGGCAGTTGGCATGCATTTCATCTATTTCTTCTTCTTCTTTTTGCAACTGAACAATATTCAAACAACCGTAAGCCCATTTAAAGTTTAAAAAATAGAACATAGCGTTGCGATACCATGGAGATTTAAATTTTTACCCGGTATGAGATTGATAATTGCATATCATTTGAGGTAGCGCAAACGGATCAAACAGAACCATTGGATTTATCAATATCAAAAGTGAAAGAGAAAGGCAATGCATTACAAGGCTTATCAATGGAAAGAAAGTGTGAAGAAGAAATTGGACTGCAATTGCTTCAAACAAAAACATTGTATTCAACCGCTTCAAAAGTCAGTGATGAACGAATTCCAATCGAAACAGTCATGAAAGTAATGGAAATGTCAAAGCAGGAAAGTAGAACGAAAAAGAAGCAACGCCACGATGTACACCAAAAGCAAGAACATACGATGACTCATACCGATGAGAAGCCGTACAGTTGTCCGACATGCAAAAAGAACTTCACTGAGTCCGGCAATATGAAAAGGCATGTGATGAGTCATACGGGTGAAAAACCATACAGTTGTCCGATATGCGGGAAAAGTTCCACTCATCCCGGTAATATGAAAAAACATATGATGACTCATACCGGTGAGAAGCCGTGCAGTTGTCCGATTTGCAAGAAGAATTTCACTGATTCCAGTAATATGAAAAGACATATGATGACTCATACCGGTGAGAAGCCGTGCAGTTGTCCGATTTGCAAGAAGAATTTCACTGACTCCAGTAATATGAAAAAACATATAATGACTCATACCGGTGAAAAGCCGTACAGTTGCCCGACATGTAAAAAGAATTTCACTAACTCCGATAATATGAAGCAACACATGCTGACTCATACCGGTGAAAAGCCGTACAGTTGTCCAACATGCAAAAAGAATTTTACTCAGTTCAGTAATATGAAAAAACATGTGATGATTCATACCGGTGAGAAACCGTACAGTTGTTCAATATGCAAAAAGAATTTCACTCAGTTCGGAGATATGAAAAAACATATGATGATTCATACAGGTGAAAAGCCATACAGTTGTCCGATATGCGGAAAATGTTACACTCGAAGATACATTTTGCAGTCTCACATGGTAACTCATGACATGAATAGACCTGTTTACCACTGTACTGCATGCAGTAAAGATTTTCAGACTAAATGCGGCTTGAAATTACACATGCGGAATCATTAAAAATTACGCTTTACGTCTTATTTTCAATTAAATACGCATTGCTATTCCTGTTATTATTGATTATTTATATTTTTCATCAGCAAATTCTTCTGTCATTTGTCTTTATTTGTTAAATAATTCTCTCTCACTATTATTGTTGTTATAGTTGCGTTAATCTTGGTCATATAAATTTTTATCATTTTTCATGTCATTTTTCTTGTTAAGATCAATCAAAATCTCCTTAAAATAGCGCCCAACATGCATGATATAATTGGCAAACTTTAATAATATAGTAGCATCACTTTAACTCAGTTTACATACAGTACATTCTTTCTGAAAAATGAACTAATCAAGTATCATCTCACAGATCTTGTATAAACGAAGCGTCTCGCTTGCTTTATTTCACTATAAAAAACATTCAGAAAATTAAGTAACCATACATAAAACAAGTACAAAATGAGAAAGAAAACAAACAATGAAAGTAATATAACGGGCGTTCATGTGAACACACGCTTGAAATCATGGCAGAAATAACAAAAGATACAAATAAATAGTAAATATAGCAGCCATCATACTTTTTTACTCATGTGAAGGAATTTTATGAACAAAAGTCTGTGTTCATAATTTTGCAGTGAATTAAACCCAGCCATGATATTGCTAATTTACTTAGCAATTATACATTAATGAACTTAATTAGTGACATAGGCTTAGGAAAAAAGTATGTAATCAATAAGAGTAACAGAATTTTCTTATAGAAGAACAACAAACAATTCAAGCCAAAATTTAAATATTTACACTTACATCCAGACTAGCAACTTCTCCCAAAATAATTAAATTTACAAATCTTCTACGACAAATTTGATGCCACAAGCCAGGAAAAGGAATATAATTACAATAGCCTTTACTATTATTGATGGCTTGGAAATAAATTGAAAAGGTGTGATTCATGAAGGAAACAGTTACATGGTAAACTGCTTTATTAGCATGAGGCTCTATACTGCTGTAGCTTCGTCCTGAATAACATCATATTGTAGGCGATATATATTTGAAATTTATAAAAGTTTGCTTTCTTTACAGGTGCATGAAATTCAGTTCTTTCTAGTTCAAGATGCTTCAAACATTTATATTTTCTGAAAGGTCCATTCTAGTGTTTAATTAACATGCAAAAATGTTTTCAGTTTTCAGTCTTCTTATATAGCAAGCAATATGCGTAAAAAAGTATATGATTTACAATAAGAAAGAGTAACCAGTCTAACAAAAAGCTTGATTATACAGTAACAAAAAAAAAAAAAAAAAAAAAAAAAAAAAAAAAAAACTGATTAGTTTACAAGCAAATTTAATTACTAGTTGACAAACCGCAAAGGATATTATTAAGCAAAGGTTGTTAACTTCGTAGATTCAAGGATAATTCACAATTAGTGGCGACACAATAATGAGATCAACTAAATGAGCAAATACTGTGTAAACAATATGTAAAAGATTTAAGACTAAACATAGGGTTGAAAACAAAAAGAGTTATAAGCTTTATTTGCAAGATTTCATAGAACATATTACTTACTCATATAATATTTTAGAGTCTCACGATATTAAAATTACTATGAACACTTCCCTACGGGAAAGTGCCTAGTAATTTTACCAAGAATCAGGAGAATTCAACTTCAGTTCTTCTCTATCAAGTTACTGTGCTAACTGCTTCTGCTAATAAAGGAATTATTATATTTTTTTGTTACCCCAAACATTTAAATCCAACAAATCTCTTCGAGATCAGCAGCCTCTCTCAAAATAATTGAATTTATAAATCTTCCACGACAGCCAACTGTTATTGGACGGAACCAACGTTGTTCCTAACTGGTAGGACTTTACCGCCTTTTTTTTAGTTTTATTATGCTTGGAATTTGAAGGGTTAATGAATATTAGAAATCATCAAATGTAATCATTTGATTTGAAGCTATCGTCATCACATGGTGTTATATACGATGACTGTAAAAATTTTTAATATGCTTAATTTACACAGATGACACAAAGCAAATTTGAAAATAAACTTTAAAAATGAAATCCAAACGAAATATTTGATGAAAAATTTAACATTCATAAATCAATATTATCAATTACAAGAGTTGCAGCAACGTAGTTTTCCCTCTCGTTAATATTCCCAAAGACTGGAAAATGTGGAAAAATTGAAACAAAAGGAAATAATATTGCAAAAAATGTCACAATTGCTATACATAAATTATTTTCAACAGTATAATATAGCAACTGAAATGAAATTATTCAGTGTAAAGGATCAAACACTGATTGCTATTATCATATCATTATACGTAATATTTTATATTCTATTATTATTATCCCCATATTGTTTATTACACGCGGACGTAAGTTATTAATAATATACGTAGTTTGCCACCTCCATCTGAATGAGCATTTATACATGCGATTATTTAACAATATCTAACAGAAGTAACAGAAGGCCTCTGTCAAACTCTCTTCCACAAATTTCTTTCATTTATTTTGTTCTCTTTTCAGAGCTCTGATTAGAATTTTGGGACTCGATGATAATCTAGAAAAGCATTTATTTGGGCAAATTTTTCCTTCGGCATTTGTCAATGAGCAATTGCCTAGTAAATTTGAATGTTTTCAGAATTGGCAACAAATTATTCTCGTTGGCAGTTGGCATGCATTTCATCTATTTCTTCTTCTTCTTTTTGCAACTGAACAATATTCAAACAACCGTAAGCCCATTTAAAGTTTAAAAAATAGAACATAGCGTTGCGATACCATGGAGATTTAAATTTTTACCCGGTATGAGATTGATAATTGCATATCATTTGAGGTAGCGCAAACGGATCAAACAGAACCATTGGATTTATCAATATCAAAAGTGAAAGAGAAAGGCAATGCATTACAAGGCTTATCAATGGAAAGAAAGTGTGAAGAAGAAATTGGACTGCAATTGCTTCAAACAAAAACATTGTATTCAACCGCTTCAAAAGTCAGTGATGAACGAATTCCAATCGAAACAGTCATGAAAGTAATGGAAATGTCAAAGCAGGAAAGTAGAACGAAAAAGAAGCAACGCCACGATGTACACCAAAAGCAAGAACATACGATGACTCATACCGATGAGAAGCCGTACAGTTGTCCGACATGCAAAAAGAACTTTACTCAGTTCAGTAATATGAAAAAACATATGATGACTCATACCGGTGAGAAGCCGTGCAGTTGTCCAATGTGCAAAAAGAATTTTACTCAGTTCAGTAATATGAAAAAACATATGATGACTCATACCGGTGAGAAAGCGTACAGTTGTTCAATATGCAAAAAGAATTTCACTCAGTTCAGTAATATGAAAAAACATATGATGACTCATACCGGTGAGAAGCCGTACAGTTGTTCAATATGCAAAAAGAATTTCACTCAGTTCGGGGATATGAAAAAACATGTGATGACTCATACCGGTGAGAAGCCGTACAGTTGTTCAATATGCAAGAAGAATTTCACTCAATTCGGGGATATGAAAAAACATATGATGACTCATACCGGTGAAAAGCCGTACAGTTGTCCAGTATGCAAAAAGAGCTTCATTGAGTCCGGCAATAGAAAAAGGCATATGATGACACATGCCGGTAGAAAACCGTACAGTTGTTCAGTATGCAAAAAGAATTTCACTCAGTTCGGGGATGTGAAAAAACATATGATGACTCATACCGGTGAGAAACCATACAATTGTCCGATATGCAAAAGGAATTTCACTAACTCCGCTAATATTAAGCAACACATGCTGACTCATGCCGGTCAAAAGCCGTACAGTTGTCCAACATGCAAAAAAAATTTTACTCAGTTCAGTAATATGAAAAAACATGTGATGATTCATACCGGTGAGAAGCCGTACAGTTGTTCAATATGCAAAAAGAATTTTACTCAATTGGGAAATATGAAAATACATATGATGATTCATACCGGTGAGAAGCCGTACAGTTGTTCAATATGCAAGAAAAGTTTCACTCAGTTCGGGGATATGAAAAAACATATGCTGATTCATACCGGTGAAAAGCCGTACAATTGTCCAATATGCAGAAAAAGTTTCACACAAAAATACCATTTGCAGTCTCACATGCTAACTCATGATATAAACAGACCAGTCTACCACTGTACTGTATGCAGTAAAGATTTTCAGACTAAATGCGGATTGAAATTACACATGCGGGATCATTAAAGGTTGCGCTTTACTCTTTATTTTATTTTATAAAAAATACGCATTGCTATTTCTGCTGCTATTGATTATTTATATTTTTCATCAGTCAATTTTTCTATCACTTCTTTATTTGTTAGATAACTCTTTATCTCTCGCTGTTATTGTTGTTATAGTTCCGCGTCTTGGTCATATATGTATATTTGTTTTTGTTAGAATAAATAAGTTCCCTAACCGTTCCTACGTGGTACCTTGTATGCTATGCATGAAGAACTTGGAAATTAATATTGCTGTTGTTAAATTATTAATGAAATTAAATTGCTTACTCGATTATTGCATAAACAACATGGATACCATAAAGTTAACTACGCAATTTGCAATGAAAACTTCATCCATTCATTTCATTTGTCGATTCGCATTCAGAATTCTGTTTCAGTTACTCTATTTGCGTTCAAAATTCCATTCACTAAAAATATTTGATAATCTAACCCAGTAGTGAATCCATCAGTGAATAACAGCATTAGCTAGTAAAGTTTTTTGAATTAAACCCGACTTGAAACCACATATGCGGAATCGTTAAAGCGTGCAGGTTAAATAGAAATAAGCTCTGATATTTCTATTGTGAAATGACCGAATAATTGGTTGGCAACTAATAAATGCTTCGAATGGATGAAACACTTGAAGAGTTATATAAGGAAACATTGTGCCATAAAGATCAAATATGTCTGTGCAACTATTTCTGCTGGAGCAAAATATTCATAATGTTAATAATTCTCACATTGCATAATCCTACTAATACAAATCGTAAAAACTTTTCTTTATTAAATAATATTGGATTTCATTGAATATAACCACAAAATCCTGACTTGACATAAGTGATCTTTTGAGTTAAATTTACTTCAATTTCCATAATTGACCTTTTTTCTTTCATTCTGCATTTATGACTATCATCATTTATTGCGTGACGAAAATTTTTGTGACATAAAAAAGGAATGTAATTAAAGGAGTGATTAGCTCTATAGCGCAACAGACTTGTTTTGATGAGTAAATAAGGTTTGTGTAGGTTGAATAAAACTTGTGAAATTACTGCTAATATTTATTTCAAATTTGAGCACGAAAAAATAACTTATCGAAACATTTCAGTGAAGAAGATGAAATATCACTATTCATTTTTTCATTATCCTTTAAGTATATAATTAAAAATCTTGTTGTCATTGAGGTTGCAACGGATTAAAGATTTCTATCTTTTTAGATTGAAGTAAACTTGAACACTCTTTCGTCGATTGAATTAAAAAGAAATCTTTTTCAGAGAAAGTGCATTAAATTATATATTTTGGAAATTTTTGTATTTAAATTAACAATTTAATTAGCTTCGAATAAATGAACGAAAATTTTGAAGTAATTATTTTTTATTCTTTTCATTTCATTACCTTTAAATTTCAATGCCTTTAAACATCTTTGCATATCACATTTGACATTGAAAAAAGCAGAAAATTGCCAATTTCATTTTATAATTTATTTCTACTGGAAATATAGAAATTGTAATATCATGTTAATCATTAGAGATCATAGCTTTTTGGATATTACCAGAAGCGATAACTTTGTGCGCTTTAGTAAATTTTATGTACCTAATTATTTAAATCAAATAAAAAATAAAAAAGAAAACGGTGAATAACCTCCTTTTTTATTTATATATAAATTCATAAATAAGAATGAAATAATTGTTGTGGAAGCAAAATTTTACGGAAGATTTGATAATTTAATTTATTATTGGAAAATTTTTCTAAGAAAGAATTTAAAATATGGTTTTAAAATGAAAACACTTCTTAATAACAAATGTCAATTGGAGTCAGTAATCAAATTCATTTTATTAGTTGCTAAGAAATGTAGTGCTACTGAGTTATCAGATTATATATTTTGTTAAAGGTTAAACATTTCGCTAAGTTTTTCCAAATTTAGCAACTCTTTACATCGTTTTTCTATCAGATTAAAAGAAATGTGACTAATTCTTTAGAACTTAAAAAATAAAGAAATCATGAATGCCTACACTTTTGAAACCGGTTGGATCTGATTGGGATATGTGCGAAGGTTGTTTCGCTTACATGCCTTTTTTAGGTAAGTTTTCCTTAATATCTTCAATTTCGTCGATTCCTAAGTGAAAATTTCATTTATATTTTCATCGTTTTTTTTTTTTTTAATAGATTTTATTATATTAATTGTTTTCTTACTAGGCATTAAATAATGGATGAATTAATTCATTTTTAAAAAGTCTGTTAAATCGCCTGTGACTGTAACGATTTACTAGCCAGCCGGTAGTCGATATTTGATAGAAAATATATGAATTACAGTTGATCGAATTAAATATCATTTTTAGTCATTAACTTATTCAATCATTGATAACGAATAGTTCGACACTCGAATAAGTAAGAAAAAAAGGAAGTTGACTGTAATGTTGCAAATTATTATGCATAAAATCACTAGTATAAAATATATTTAAAGATCAAATCCAGAAATAACTAAATTAATTTCGTGCTACACTGCATGCCAATATCAGAAAGAGGATGAAAAACGAATTGTTAAAAGCATTGTTTTGTACTTAGTTCAGGATGTGATGTTTGGATAATTATTTATACTTAACATGTCGATTGGAATAATGTTAAATCACGGTTTGAATTTGCCAAAGTGATGCTTGAAATAAACGACTGCTCACATTTGACTTATTCTTTTTTGTAAGTTATTTGAATTTGTTTAAATTTCAATTAAAGAAGATGACGAGGAAATATGCGAAATATGTATAAGTTATATCTTGTTACCATCCTTATTTATCAGAACAAATTGAAGCCTGTCCTCTCTGTATTCTTATATATACCTTTTAATTTTGAAAGAGTTTTACAATGAGGGATTTCAGATAATTCCAGTCCGAGCTTGTCGTGTGGAGCCTTTGGGCAACTCTAGTGTTACATAGCCATGGATGGCAAACGATTATTCCCATTCAGCATTTCAAGTGATGCAACCAGGCATTGTGGAACGTTATTGGACGGACCGACGTTGCTGATTACTGATAGGACTTTACTATCGTCTTTTTTTTTTTTCAGTTGGTATTCATTTGATTGTTAAGTTTGTCACATTATATGTTATATACGATGACCGTAAAAATTTTTAATAAGCATAATTTAAGCCTAACACAAAGCAATTTGAAAATTAAGTTTAAAAATGAAGTCCGAGCGAAAAGACTGGATGAATTTGTAAATCAGTATTACCAATTATAGGAGATGCAACAAAATGTAGCAGTTTTCACTCACGCTAATATTCCAAAGATGCAGCAGTCTTCCACTCACGTTAATATTCCAAAGATTTGAAAATCTGGGAACATTGAAATGAAATGAAATAAATTGCAAAAAATGTCACAAAAATGCAACTGCTTTGCATAAATTATTTATAACAACCAATGCAGAAGCTGAAAAGAAATTC